TTGTTTCACTGTTTCCACTAATAGTTCACATGCGTAGACACTTAATACACAAAATCGCAACACTTTTACATATCAAAGTCCACTTCAAACCATTATTTTAACAATAATACAGGAGCAGCAAACCGCCGCCGGTCAATTTCCCGCCAAAACTCCCCGTCCCGTACATTCTGTCATTGGAACTGTTGCCGTATTTTACCATCTCGTCCCGTTTTTCGACTATTTCGACAGAATAAGGAATTGGCCCGAGCTGAGCGGCGCGGGTGGCCAGACCTGAACAATTCCTGCCCACAACGCAAATATAGAAAGAATATTTTTGTTGATGACGGCTCAATAGGCGGACGAACTAAACAGATTGTCGGCAGAGACTATTGAATCCATATTGATTTGTGATTATAATTTTAAAATGACATGCGCCAAGTTCTATGATATGTTAAAAAAGAAAACGAGATCATTACAAAACTAAAATCAATCTAAAGTATGATTGGGCGAAAAATAGACCCTTTTTACTGGTAAAGAGGCATTCCATCTTAATCCTCATGGGTGACAACGCATCTGCATCTTGAGTTTTTATTGAGGATAGATGTAGATGTCTATAGGCCACAGCAACCATTTACCATCAGGTGGACTGTGTGCTCGTTTGTCACCCTATCCTATAAAAAGAAAATCTAATATTAATTTAAATTAAAATTTTGTTTCTACGTCTACTTCGAATAAAAACTTTGATTTCGATTTTTTAATTAGATTTATTTTATACTTTTGATTCACACTACAGTTAAGATCATAGGGTAGCTGTCAACAATATGCGTGGTTCGTCTTCACTAGTGTACATGCATGCTTTGGTTTAGTTGAAACGCTGCGTTTCGGCGTGTTTTGGGCATCTAAAGTGTTACACGTCCCGTATTAGTTCCTGGAAGTTATGGAAAACCTATTTATATGCTACAAAAAGGGTTTAGTCGATTATATAGCATGTACCACCGATGGAAAATCCTATTAGTCTTTTATACTAGATTTATAATAAAATAAACGTAAAATTGAAGTTCCACCATAAGGTCTTACACGTGTGCAAAAAGGTAATAAACACACACATACACACACACACACACACACGCACACCACACACGCGCGCACACACGCACGTGCGCGCACACACACACACACACACACACACACACACACACACAACAGCACAAACCCTGCTTAAAACAAGACGCACATACAGTTCCACATAGGCATAGAACTTCAGTTACACAAAGAGCTGCTAATTAGTTTTTAAGTTTACTGTTATTTTTTCTTCCTACATTTAATTTTTACTTACCTTTTGTAAAATAGTCTCAATATTGTTAATAATTAAGGGAAACCGCGAGATAGCCCCAACACAAGTATTATCAATTACTTACTCGGGATTTCTCATCTATACAAATAAATAAAATTGAAGAGTCTATTTGTATTGTTAAAATAACAGCTTTTTACTAAATGTTTATGAAAGTATATACGGTACTAATAACAAAAACCATTTTCAAAATTTATGTCTGTCTGTTTGTTCCGACTAATCTCTGAAACGGCTGGACTGATTTTGACGGGACTTTCTGATAGTAGTAACTTAGGATACTTTTATTTTAGAAAAATAATTAGGGTTACGCGCAAGAAAATTAAAACTCATGAAATCGTAGTAAATTCCACGCGGGTGAGGTAGCGAGGGACGTCTAGTTTATAATCCATGTAACTGTTTTGAGACATATATATATATATATATATTCATTTTTATAGGGATCTATGAAAAATTTCCTTTTACCTATGCAGTTGTGAACAAAAAAAAGTTTTCAAAAAGGACTACCTATCAAGTAGTGAAAATCGGCTTTATAAATCTATTTTCAATTCGTGACTTAAAGTTGAGTGGAGACCATTTTGATGCATATTAAGTTTCTTTTTCATATTTTTGTGTAGATGAAAAGCATTTTTTTCATTTCATTTGCAAACCCACTGAACTTAATAAAAGACGAGAATATTTCTATAGTATAGACAGACACTTCAATTTTATTACTTCTATATCTTGTTTACTTAGTTATGGACAATCAGATTTATGTAATTTATGCGTGCAAGTCGTGAATGCGGCATATGAATGAAACGTATTTTGATACTAGATACTTTTATTTTGAAAGTTTGTCCGGGCGTCGTTACGTTCGTGCAAACGTATTCGTTTCTGTTTTCTCCCTGGATAATGACACTAAAGAAAATACTAAACTTACGAAATAATATTATATCCACCACTGCTATGTTTCTGTTTTGTTTTAATTTTCTTTCAAATAAAGGCGCACACTTTTCTAGCGTTATTTTGAGCCGTCTTTAAAACTTCAAATAGTTCGCCTCGCCTTCAAGCGTGTATCTATCTAGTGGCGGTATACGGACTAACCCCATATCATCCGATGGGTGTCGCAAGAGGCGACTAAGGGAAGCTGAAAAAGGAAATGGGCAGAAGCATCTGCCTGATAGCAACTGAAAATTATAAAAACTGCGGTTGCCAAGCCGTCAAGCGTGTATGTATGGCAAGTATTGCAAAATCCCCCCTTTGAAAAAAAGGATTCCCCGTATATAGCCATCTATGGGGAATACTTTTGATGCTGAAATGGTTGGAAAAATAGAAGTCGTTAGAAACTTACCACTAAAATCAGTCTGTCCACTAAACATTTATATTATCTTAAAGGATTCTCACGACTAAGTCGCTTGATGTTCTTGTCAAGTATAACTATACAGGCGTCAATGGGCGATATCATTAATTTGCTATTATGTGAACCGTGTAACCATTTATCAGTCTCAATTCTGTTTTAAAAAAAAAAGGTAAGATCAACATAGCGATAAAAATAAATATAACCTGATTAATGATTATGTAAAATGATTATTATCAGCGTTTTTTTACAAACTTCAATAGATACGTGGACCACTAAGAAAAGTAGATTTCTAGTTTTGCAAAACTACAAAACTAAAAAAAAGTTCATGTCAAAGTTTTTATATTAAATCTTCTCAAAAAACCCTACACTAGCATCTATATAAAGTTTATGCATCTGTACTGAACTGAACCAATTTTCGAAACTATTGCTCGACATGCTCAAACGCCGCGAACGCATCATCTGATTGTAAAAACTGTATTCCTTTGACCTGATTTTTTTTTGTTTAACGGTTGCCAGTTAACAGCATTTAGATTTAGCCGTAAATGCCATTCAAATTTTTTCTCATTTGGAATTTGTGCTGTTTTAGGTGACATTTGAAATAGTAAACAGATCCATATTTCAATTTAGCTCACCAAAAATGTGGAAAGAAATTTGAAATTGATCCATTCATATTACTACTTGTAAATAATCGGTATAACAAAATAAATTATAACTGACCAGTGTCGCATATAAAAACAAAATTCGCATAACTTTCTGCGTAGCTTTCATACTGTTTATATAATAATAACCTATTTTCAACCAACTTTTAAAAAAGCAGGAGATTCTATTCCACGGTATTTTTTAATGTGTCAGAAGTTTTATCTAGGTAACCGATTTTGATGATTATTATTTTATTCGAAAGCTGGACGTTCTCATGTGGCCCCATATAAATTTGATCAAGATCTGACCAGTAGTTTTTGAGTTACCCTATTTATATATAATGCATATTTAATTGACTTCGACTACATTGATGATGTTCTCATATTATTTATATTGAAGTCGGTTGTAAGAAATTTTTAATTTTACCACTTGTTTTAAAAACGGAAGTGACAAAAAAGGAAAGTGAGTGAAAAAAAGAAGAGATCATTGTCACAGTGAGGATTAGGATGGAATGCCTCTTTTCCAGTAAAATGGATCTTCGGTTCTCTACACTCACCATGCGAAACACAGCAGCATTAAACTGCTATTTTACGCTGTTATTCTGTGAGAGCGTGGTACTACCCCGGTCGAGCCGATCTATTCATGCTACAACTATTAATATATATATTATATTATATTATTATGCGTATATATATTAATATTATTATATTAATATATATACGCAGCATGGCTCATCAATAAGATGGAATGCCAGTATGTACTGGCTCTCTATACTCCTCTGAAAAAAATCAGTTCAAGCACTGCTATTTGACATCATAAATAACTTATATTATAATTTTTAAAAACCCGGAAACAAAATGTTTCTGATGGCCTTCAAATGGTTGAAACGATTTTCTTGAATCATAACTAAAAACACTCGATCAAGTCACCTTTCAAACAAAAAAAAAAACTAATTCCAAATCGGTTCATCCTTTTGGGAGCTACTATGCCACATACACACAGAAGATACACACGTTTAACATATAACACATCTCTTTTTCGTCGGGGGTTAAAAAGTCATTTTTTTTAATATTTCTCTCCGTAAGAAGAGAAACTTACCCGCGTACTTCAAGGAATATTATAAAAAAAAAGAATTAACGAAATCGGTTCAGCTGCTCTCAAGATATGCGCTTAGCAACACATTCAGCGATTCATTTTTATATTATAGACTAGCTATGCCCCGCGACTTCGCCCGCGTGGAATTTACTACGATTTCATGGATATCAATTTTTTGCATGGAACCCTAATTTTGTTTATGAGTAATGTTACCATTTTATAAATATTGACATTAATATTTATACGATACTAACGTAACTCAATTATTTTGTCTTCCCGGAACCCCTCCACTGACACTTAAACTTTATCGTATGGTATTAAAGTTCAAATTGACTTTTTAAGTATTATTACGAATCTTTTGTATGGGTATATAGAAAAGTGTTGTTTTTAGACTTTTTCGGGCAATTTTTTAAATTTTTCTCTCCGTAAAAACCATCTTCGTACTTCAAGGAATATTATAAAAAAAGAATTACCGAAATCGCTTCAGCTGCTCTCAAGATTTGCGCTTAAACACAATCAGCGATTCATTTTTATATTATAGATAGAGATAGACGCTGTATATATTTTTATCATGTTGTAATGTTTCATATTTGTTTTCAGAATTATCTCTCGGTTCTATGGGGAAAATTAGCTAGTGAGATATTAGTCCAAAATTGGGATGGTGCTCTCGACGATTTAACCAAGTTGCGCGAGTTTATAGATAACGGTGGCGCTGGCGCTACTGCTAGTAATATGCAAGCTCTTCAACAACGCACTTGGCTGGTTCACTGGTCACTTTTTGTCTTCTTTAACCACGTGAAAGGTCGTGACCTCATCATCGAAATGTTCCTTTACAAGCCATTGTGAGTTTTCAGATAAGTGCATTATTTTTCTTTTGTATATGAATTCATTTTTCATAAGAGGCCAAGAACAATGTGAATATGCTACAAAATGTATGAATTTTATTTTTTATTTATTTTATACGTGGTAGAGCCATACTGCAGCTATTAGTAGTATAGTTGTAGCACGACTAGGTTGGCTCGACCGGGGAAGGACCACGCTCTCACAGAATACAAACGTAAAATAGCAGCTTAATGCTGTTGTGTTTCGTATGGTAAGAGAACTGGAGACCCTTTTTACTGGAAACATTCCATCTTAGTCCTCACGGGTGACGACGCATCTGCATTTTGATTCGTAATCAAAAATAGATGTAGATGTCTATGGGCCGCAGCAACCACTTACCATTAGGTGGACTGTGTGCTCGTTTTTCGCCCTTACGTTATATATAAAAAAAAAATTCCCGTCGGATCCATGTTAATACTTTTTGTTGACGTCAGCTCAAACACAGGGATTCGTAAAAGAAAAACCAAGTATTCCACATATAAATACAGACTTATTTAGGGTTGCCAGACAAAAGCTAACATTTTTGTCTATATTTCACTCATTTCTGCATGTTCTACCATTGGATTTTTAATATTTTTTATCACAGTAAATTACAGTTAGCTTGTTGACACCATCATTAATAAACTGCTAAATATAATTATTACTTCACGACATTTAGTTGTCTTAAAACTAGGTTGATTTTCTATTTAAAATTAAATTAGGGTTTGAATATTTCGAAGTAAACAGAAGATTATTCTACTTCAAAACCTATGACGTTATTATATTATATTCTCATACAATTTCATATCAATTAAAAATGTTTGTTACCAGTTCATAAAAAATAAAAATATTTCAGTTGTCTAGACCCAGAGTGCCAAATACTAATGGAATCTAAAAATAATTTTAATTAATAATATAATTAACTTTGTTGCAGGTATCTAAACGCCATTCAAACCATGTGTCCACATATTTTGCGTTACTTGGCTACTGCTGTAATTATAAACAGATCCCGCAGGAATGCTTTGAAAGATCTGGTAAAAGTTATACAACAAGAAGCTTATACCTACAGGTAAATAAACATTTTTAATTAATAATAAGTTAGATTTTGTAATCTGTATCTAAACATTGAGTTCTGAAAAATATGAATGGTGGTGAATGTGCTATATGGAAATTTTTAACACTAATTAAACTTAAAAGGTTATTCTTTTGTAAACCTAAAATACGAAATACCACAAAAATTATTATCATCTTTACAGCCTTTTACAAGTCCACTAATGGTAAATAACGTCTCCAGACCGAATTTCGGTCACGGCTACTGGTCTACGTCATCAGTGACTACCCATCTGCGCATTACAGTATTTCATTGCATATATGTGTGTGTGTGTAAGAATATATGTAAAGATATCACCCCATGGGTGTCGTAAAAGGCGACAGTGTGAAACAAATCAGATGGGCAGCAACGTCTTCCTAAATAACTTACGGATTGCGATTGCCAACCCGCTTGCTAAGCATGGCAACTATGGAAAATATCCCCCATATGAGGTAATCTATGACGGAGACTTATGTTCGGCTGTGAACTTTAATAGTCTGTAACGGTAACGCCGCAAACAGGTGCACTCTTCTATTCCCTAACTGTCATAGTCCAGTGGGACAGTAATCCGACACAACAGGAGAGAGATCAGGCGCAGGACCAATGGCTTTACGTGCTTTCCGAGGCGCGAGAGTAAAACCCCTCAAACTTCCCGATTTCGGGTGCTACTCTTCTTTTTGAACAGAAAAAAACCAAAATAGCCGTGTCCACACAGGGCGCATGGGCTCTACTGATGAATGAAATGAATGATGAAAATCACGGGTATGGCGATGAAGACACGTTTAAATGTATCTTGCTCTGACTTTCAATTAATTCTGGTGATAGCGATTAAAGTAACTCTTTAACCGACGTCACCATAATAATACGAGATTTCCACGTGTGATTTTGCAGGGATCCTATTACAGAATTTATTGAACATCTGTATGTGAACTTCGATTTTGAAGCAGCACGCAGAAAATTAAACCAGTGTCAAGCAGTTCTTCTTACAGACTTCTTTTTAATTGCTTGCTTAGACGAATTTGTGGAGAATGCTCGTTTGATGATATTTGAAACATTCTGCAGAATTCATCAGGTTATCAGTATTGGGTTTGTACTTTCTCTTAGTCATTTTAAGTCAAGTAATATTTGCTACCTACTTAAATAATTAATTATATTTTAAAACTATTACAGTATGTTAGCGGAAAATTTGAATATGCAGCCAGATGAGGCTGAATGTTGGATTGTCAACCTGATTCGGAATGCACGTCTTGATGCCAAGATAGATTCTAAACTAGGCCATGTCGTAATGGGTGCGCAGCCTCTTTCGCCTTACCAGCAATTAGTAGAGAGAATTGATTCATTGGCTGTCAGGTCAGAAGCTCTGACATCTTTAGTAGAAAGAAAACACAAGGCCCGTAATCAAGATGTAAGTAAAAAGCTAATTCTTGTATCTCCTTAATAGTTAGACAAGCCATTTAATTATCAAATTGTCTTTTTTCAGATTCGTTGGGGTACGCAAGAATTTTAATAAAGTTGCGAATTTTAATTTTCTTCTATTATATACATATTATAAGAAAATTATTGCTGTAAATTAACTTCTTTGTATTAAAACATCTGGAAAGAAATGGTAGTTTCACTCAATAAAAAATACAAGCCTTCTAGTTATTCATATTTATTAAAACTACACTTACTCTACAGGTTTGATTGTAATAAATCTCGACAAAATAAAAGCAACTAATATTGTTGATAGAACAAAAATCACAACAAACATGTAAAATGTATCTTCTGAAAATACATCAGTAAAGGCGGGTATCTGATTGTATATCTCTTCTACAACATGCAGATTCCCTTTGTTTGAGCGTGCCATATTTCAATTTACTTTTTTTTGCTCTTCTTTTTCACCAACTTAGTTTGAACAGTTGTTGTAACTTGTTCAGCAGGTGCTAATGAAGATATATGCTTATTAAATAGTTGAAGAATTTCTAAACATGTGAGATTTCCACTTTTTAATGTGACGTTTTTGAATTTCGTAGATTCTGGAATAAAAAATTCAATATAAATTTTGAACATACAGTGGTGGACATACAAATAGAAACAAGTACTCATATAACTTATAAAATATTTGACATTATAACTTCTTGTTCAGCCTACAAAATGCCCCTCGTGGACTCCCATTGTAGGGAGGATTTGGTAGCAATTGTTATTCTTGGCTGGAAGATTGACGATCATAGTACAAGGTGACACTTGACGTAGCTTCCTGTCACCAGTCTGGGTATATTATGCAAGACATAAAAGATATTTTGCCGCCATCTATGAGAGTTCATAACCACAGTTCATTATAATGAGTTATCAGGAAGATGCTGCTGCCTACTCCTGTTTCATTTCCATCTCAACACTTACTGCACCCATAGAACGATTTTGGGTAGTGAATCCTTTACATTTTATAAGCCAGTGCACGTCTGCATCACACCTGATGGTAAATATTGGTCTATCTCTAGGTGGTAATTGGCAGTAAATAAAATAAAAGCCTATTCACTCTTGCCTTTTGACAACACATTTTGTTTTTTCACAGTTTGGAAGGAAATACAGATGCTGACAAACTATTCCTATATTTTTACCTATAATGCACCAATAAGCACTAATGAAATTTTTGATTTCAGTTTTACGTACTGATGTACCACATATTCTCAGCTTTAGAAATGAAAACCCCGAATATTGGGTTCATATAATTAAAATATGATATTCTAAGGCACTGGTTTATAAAATGTAAAGGATCCACTACTCAACCGTCCACGGGTGACTACAGTCCCCAAAAACAATTATTGCCTCACCTGTCCATGGCGACTATAGTCCCCAAATTACATCTTTTGGTTTAAACGTGTACAGCGCAAAAGGTAGCCGTTATTAATATAGTAAAAAATTATAGATGGCGCTATATGAAATTTGTCATCTGTAAAAGTGAATTTTATCTGTAAATCTAAATCTGTAATATTTAGAAAAAAAGTGAAAATTTCTCCATTTTCGTTTCTGGAATGTTAAAGTGTGAGAAATTCAATCAAAAATTTTTATGTTATTTCTAATGTTATTGTCCATCAAACTAATTGTGAAGATATTTTCTTTAGTAAATATGTATCATCACGACAATTCCAAAACATTTACTTATAATAATTTAGCTCGAAATTTTATCTGGATATTCCCATTTTTAAGCTTTATTTTCAGCCTTATGGGTTGGCTTTAGTTAATCTGCGGCACGATTTTAGTGATCATTTTAGCTTTAGGTGATACGCAAAGATGCTATTGATTACCATCTAGCTTTTTTTTATGCCGGAAATCTAGTTTTCGAGATATCGATAATTATAGTTTTGAGGTTATATCCATTTAAAAATGATACGAAAAGGAAATAACAATATAATTATTAGAAAGAGATAGCAATAGAGCATGGTCTGTATCTGTTTTAAAAAATAACATGCAATTTTAGCTGCTGGAGCTGCGTCACAATATTTAAAATTATTTTCTAAAAATATTCATAAATCACTAATTAATATCTGAAACTGAACTTTTGACATTGACAGTCGCAGATATACTCGACCAAAGAGAATATATTACTACGTTATAAGTTTATTTACGACTTCGCGACTCGCGTCATAAGCATCATTCCGTTACTTCCTAGTTTACATGAATGTGCTCCTTATTATTATCTGCCTGCTGTTTCTCAACCCCTTTGCTACCCCTCTGAAGACCGATTGCATGCTATTTTGCGACGTTTTTGGAAATGGTGGAAGTAATAAAATATGTTTATTTATTAAAGTAACTTTTAACATTTTGGTGTTTTATTTGGTGCAAGAGCGAGCGAAGCGAGCTCGGGACTTAGGGCACCCCGACTCGGACAGGTTAGGTTAGAAGGGGATGGCGATTTATAAAAAAAAAACTAAGCACGTCCGGCAGGAAATGAAGGTGGGGGGTGACTCTACAACTCTCCCCCACCCCTTCCACACCCACTCGGCGACCATATATTCATGCCGCAGATTACTAAAGAAATACAACCTTTATTTTTGACTACTTTTCTTTTAATAAAATTAAATTTTGAATTCTTTGTCTTGTGAATATTTTTTATTTCAATATAGCTATAGTAGTTTTTCAGCAGTAATTGTTTTTGTTAAGACAGTTTCACACGGTTGTAAAAAATAGTCAGGCGAGAATCACTCGTGCGGGGTGGACGGTTAAGTGGTTAAGAGGTGAAATGAAAATGAAACAGGAGATGGCAGCAGCATCTTCCTGATAACTCAAAATAATGATCTGTGGCTATTAACCATAGTGTACCAAGCATAGCAATCTATAAGGGAGGCCTTAGTTCAATAGTCGACTTATTATAGACGATAATGATGATGATGAATTATTGTAAATTTTTGCTGTACTTCAATGACTTGTTTTCAATAAATATAGAACTAAGGTCTTTGTAATAAAGTAATTACTACTTCATAGGGTTTTTGTTAAAAGAAAAACATTGCACATTTCACACATTTTACCCTTACCTGCTACTGAAGGAGCAATCAATACATCAATTGTTGGCTCACTGCGATCACACACTACCACTGTTTTAAGTGAACAATTGGGATTTGTGAAATTTATCTTTTGTGAACTTATATAATGGAGAAAATTCCTGTAAAACATAGTAGCAATATAAAGATTGATAAAAACATTAAAGTTGTCGACTTAATATTGAATATAAATAAATATCATGCACAAAACTATATATACTATAATATTTTAAAATAGTACCTTCGCAATGAACGCCGGAATTAGAAAATATATTTTGTTTTCCATAATTTAGTGTTATTCATAGTCGAAATACTTATGTATATTATTAATATAAAGGATTATTATCAAGTTAGAAAATTAATTAATTTATCAAAGAAATTTCTCGATGCATACTTTATTACGTGATTATTTTGAGGGTCCTATGGGATAATGAAGCTAGGTTACCTGGTATGCTTAACATTATCACTGAATGGGTCAAACTTGACGGTTATTCTTTTAGCGGCTTTGAGATTTACAGCTCTTAGCTGTTTTCCAATCGCAGAAACTACACCCCCTGATCTTCGAATAGTACCACTGTAAGGGATAGACATATTGTTGCCTCCCGAAGTTGCGCAGGGGTGCAAAAATAGCTACTGTCATCTGTCAGTCTGTCAGTGCTGCCACCTAAAACGTCGTCAAAGTCAACGTCGGTTTCAGATTGATATGATTTTTTGGTACTTACTAATTTGATTTACAACGCTTAAAGGAATTTCAAATAATAGTACGTAGCTCCTAAAGCAGCTACGTACTATTATTTTTTCTGTGCCGCAGCGTACTGTTTAAAAAAAAAAAAGCTACCCCTACACTAAGATTTTCTCCTGTATCGTGGAGGCAGTTTACAAAAATAAAGTGCACAAGGAGAAACATCCAGACCCGGAGCAATTATTTGCAGGCCATACAAGTACTTGTTCCGTGCGGGATTCAAACCCGCGGCCCTCAGCGCAGAAACTCATTGCTAAGCTAATGCGCCACCGATGTCACAAAGCCGTCAATAGCTATGAGCATTATAACGTATAGACAGTTATGGAAACGTCTATTTACTTTATAACGTATAGATAGTTATACATAACGCTCATAACTGTCTATTTCTTATAACGATCCGCAACGCATAGAGTACCTTTGAACCGCAACGCTGCAACGTGGTAGTTATACATAACGCTCATAACTGTCTATTTCTTATAACAATCCGCAACGCACAGAGTACCTTTGAACCGCAACGCTGTAACGTTGCGTTCGCTTGGAATCGTGATTCGTGATATCAAAACATCACGCACTCGCTGCCGTACAAAAACAAATGTTATGCCGTGTACGATAAGAACGAAACTGCAGCGGGGCTCATATTGAAACGTGTAGGTTGAGCGAAGCGAAATTCGAGAAATAAGTTTATTATTATTCTTTTTCATATAGATACTTGTATAATTATTTCAAATTGTCAATGTGTCTTTTTTAATAAAGCAATTTTAAATCTCGTGCTGTTTATTATAAAATTCTACACAGTAAATACGGGTTTTTGCCATTATATTGAAAAATAACACTTGTGCTCCAAAATGTAAGGATTAAACTGCATTAATAGCCTTGACCTTGTTAAGATGAAATATTATTACTGACCTTCTGTCCTTCAACTTTTGAACTTGAGTTTTCATATTTATTAGATCTATGAGGAACAAGGTGCAATAAAAATTTTGGGTGTAATATTATTGTTTAAAAACTTTGCTTTATTTGCTAATTCCAAGTTTATTTCGAAACATAAAGCACTCATAGTGATATTAGTGTTCATAAAAGAAGTCTAAAAACGAACAAAAGGCCTTTGTAAATATTTATTTGATTTCATGATTGTAGATATAGATATAGCTTCGTTTTGGATTGTAATATAACAAAGAAACAATGTCGCGACAAAACACTGTGTTTTGTGGGAGTTTCTCGAAAAAAACTGATAATTCAAATAAAAAAGCGCGTTTTAATATTTCTCAAAACGAATTTAGTTTTCAGACGTCTTCAGGTTATCTGAAGTTACATTTACGGCAGCGATATATAGAAGCGTACACACAAGTTTCGTTAGAACAGCAAACGATTGCTAGATCTTCGAGACCTGTGAACACTTTGGGTGTCCTTGCGTCAGCACTAACTTAAAAGACAACTTTTTGAGCCAGGGTTCTATGTGTAATCCAACCTCCGCGATGCGATCAGCTGTACTGTGCCGCAGTCTTTACACAAATAAGGAAAAATGGATGCCTTAATTGCTAGAAAGATGTCAAAAGATCAAAAGTACGAAGGAAAGTTCATTTCAGCAACTAAATTAGTATTTACTTAGTGAACGAAAATAATTTTGATGATAACTGTTCTATGACGGTATATTGTTAAGTTGCGGTTACATGGAAAATAGACAGTTATGAATATAGATAGTTATGATAACGTTATCCGTTGTACCATAACGATAACGTTACGTTATTTAGAAAAGACATAACGACACACCGCTAGCCGTCAAATACTGAAAATATTACAGTTAAAGGCATAGATTAATGATAAGTCATCGCGCGCTCTGACTAGATACCGCGCTCCCTGCAAGTAACAGCTCCGTGAGGACGGCATCTTAATATTGTAATGTATATAAGACAATTTGCATGATGCTAGTGTGCGTGAAAAATTGTATATGCCAGCAGCTTAACTATTACCCGATTAATGGGAAAATTTATTTTATGCTATGGCTTAGTAGTATAGTTCATGATTATGAATGTATTCCAGAAATACTTAAAAATGAATAGTTTATTAATTACGAATGTATCAATATATTTGTGTATATTATGTATAGGTTTTTCTTCTGAATAAATGACATATAAATGATAGGCCTCCTTTTTATCAGTTTAATTTTTTTATTTACATGTCTAACTAATATTCACAAATTATTAAAAAAAAATTAGTTATATATATGGTGTAATCAAAATAGGGCTTTCTATTCTACGCGTCAATATGAACAACTTTTACTATAGATATATCTTCCTAATAGCAAGAAAAATCAGGGCTTCCATACATTTTGAGCAAGTTTGTACGAAATTTTGTATGGAATAACTGACTTTGAGATATTTTTTATAGGATCAGGGTGACAAACGAGCACTCAGTCCACCTGATTGTAAGTGGTTGTTGTGGCCCATAGACATTTACATCTATCCTCGGTTAAGAATCAAAATGCAGATGCGTTGCAACCCCTGAGGACTAAGATGGAATGCCTCTTTGCCAGTAAAAAGGGTTCTCTACACTCACCATAGGAAACACAGCAGCGTTAAGCTCCTATTTTACATTGGTATTCTGTGAGAGCGTGGCCCCCGGTCGAGCTGACCCATTCGTGCTACAACTATACCAGTAATATAGCTGCAGTATGGGTTTATCACGTATAAATTGAAAATTTCGAAGATGATCCCATAAACAAAAAATATTCACGTTGACGGGCAGAATCATTCCCTAAGTTATTAAGTACTATTTTGTAACACCTTTAGTCAGTATATAAGACTGGGGAAAAAGTTTCTTCGTATATTGTATACAAATTCAAGACGTTTTCGTTTTAAGGTTTTATTACATTTAATTATAATATATATGGGTCCATTCTGTTCGATAATTTGTTACCATCTTGTAGGTAGTGAAATAATAAAAAATAAACGTTGCTGTAGAAATCTTGGGATTAGGATTAAAAAAATGCGACGAGTAGTTTTATTTGAAATATTCATTACCAGAGATTTGAAGGAACGTGGATTTAGTCATCCCATTTATAATGGAAAAAAATTATAAACTTAAATATTAAAACCTCCAGAAAGCTTTCTTTTAAAGAACACAAGCAACAAAAGAAAATAATGACTAAAACTTTTAAACCAGTTTTAAGTACTCAAGCAAATACTGGATTTTTAGGAAAATTAGTGTGTATTGAAAGTCTCAAACAAAAAACTAATCTTGTGATCTGGCGTTATCATGATGAAAGACCACTCCTTTTCTGGTTATCAATGCCAGACGTTTCTTTTTCTATTTCTTGCTTGTCTCATTATTTATTGGTAGTAGAGATCCGAATCGATGGTTTTAACCGGCGGTAAAAGCTCATGATAAATTTTCAATACCACCATACACACAGCATCATTTTATTTCGTGTTAATCCAGGTTTTGCTTTAGTCTGTAAACAAAACTCATATCACGTACAGAAAAAAATCACGTTTCTTGTATGGTCTTCATACAAGAAACGTGATTTTTTTGGGTCCTTTAATATTTTACTTGTTTTATTTTTTATTTTATGTTGTTATAGCAGCAAAGTAAATACACATTCGATGAAAATTCCAAGTATCTACATATTACGGTTCATAAGATACAGCCTACTGACAGACAGACGGAACGATAGTGGAGACTTGGGTCCCGTTGATACTCTTTGGGTACGGAACCCTAATAAATGGCAATTATGTCATTTGAGCAATACTACAGAAATTAACATTAAATAATATAGAATTAGGTTATATTATAATAAGTTTAATATATTATAACAGTTGAGTGATCATCTTTCCACTAATTAAAACTAATTTCTACTGACCAACTAGAAAAAACCACGAGCTTCTAAAAGCAATATTTCTCTATTAGAAGGAGTGTCAAAACCATCAGTTTCAGTGGAAAGTCCACTAAGTTGGCAACACTAGCTATTGCTAGCTGGTGCAACTTCCATAGTAAAAATTATATATACTACAGGGGTCAAATTTTAATGACGGTTATCTCTTCTTTCTGCTTTTCGTAAGGGCCCGTTCACACATGGGAGTCCGTTTTACTGGTACGTTTTTAACGGATACGTCATAAATTTATGCTCTGTTCACACATAGGCACCGTATAACGTTCAACGGATCCGTCATTATGGTCTGTCTGTGAGTCTGGATGTGATGTGTGAACAGAAAACTCGCAGTATACCGCCGCTATTCACAAGGATGGACGCTGTCGTGTTGTATTGGTACTATCGTCGGAGAAGGAAGATTCGACGTTATTGGCAGCATCCACTTATGGCCCAAAGATCTAGAGAGGGTGCTTACAGTTTACTACGAGTCAGTTACGAGGTGATGAATAGAAATTTTTCAATTACTTTCGTATGTCAATGTCTACTTTTGATGAACTTCTAAACTATTGGAAAAGGATTTAAAAAAGCAAGATACTCGTTGGAGGAAAAGTATCTGCCCAGAAGAAAAACTAGCTATATTTTTAAGGTACGTACTTTTATTTTTAAAACTCAGATAGATCTAACGTAGCATCACTGTATACAGATTGTAATGGCGATAGTGCACTATCAGTTGACTGCGGTCTGCTAGCATCACTGTATACAGGTTGTACTGGCGATAGTGCACTATCAGTAAGCTGTGGTCTGCTAAAATAGCTCTGGGATTGACAGTGACTAGCACCAGATGTTTGTGTATAGGCTGACCAGTCATAAGTTAACTGGTCAACTCTCCTATGTTTAATATTTTGTAATAGGTTTATTACCCCTGACTGGAATTCCAAAATTTGGTCATCATCAAGCAAAGCCAAGGACGGCAAAATACTT